CGCATACGCTTATGGTTAATTAACCATAAAATCAAAAATTAAAAACTTAATTATATTTTACAAATTTATGTTTGGTGTCACTCATATTAAAAACAAGTGAATGGAGCGACACCTTCATAAAATAAACACATAAAATAAAAAATAATAAGAAAGAAAGAAAACTACATTAATACAAGTAATAAAAAAAGAAGTATAAGGAACAATACTATTTAAAAAGTTGGAATTAACACAAAAATATAAAAGAGTAACGCTAAGAAAAATGAAAAAAAAAAAGAGATAATGAACGGATGAGATAAGATGAGTGAGAAAATATGTAAGAGAAAACAAAAACTTAATCACATAAGTTCAGAAGGATAAAGTAACAGAAAAAATTTTTTACAGAAAAATATAAAAAAACAAATTAAAGGCAAATTTAAATAAAAAAATATATACATACACTACTATATACAATATTAAAAGCTATATTGAAGCCTTTAATATAGCCTTTAATATTGTATATAGTAGTGTATGTATATATTTTTTTATTTAAATTTGCCTTTAATTTGTTTTTTTATATTTTTTTGCAAAAAATCTTTTGCAGAAAAATATAAAATGGATAATGAACTTTAGAGCATTGAATTGTTTTAAATGGACCCTTATAAATAGTAAAATTTAATGGAAAAAAGTTTCTTCAGCAGTCGAATTTGTAATAAAGGAAGTAAAAGATATTGTTATTAATGACAATTTTCTTTTTGAAGAAATTGGAAGAGTAAATTTATTTTTAAATGAAGAAAAACTGAAGAAAGAGAACAATGAGAAAATAGAACTTGAAAAAAGATGGGTGGAAATCATTCAGCATTTTAGAGTAGAACATATCCCACATGAAAGTTTAAAAGTTTTAACAGAAATTTCTTTATGTTGTCCAGGCACTAATGCTGCTGTTGAAAAGGTATTTTCACTAAGAAATGATTATTGAAGCAGTGAGAAGTTGCAACTTTCTGTAAAAACATTATATGCAGTCAAATTTAATATGAAATTTAATGTTCGGATGCAGCTACATTATTAGACGAACATCCTCATCTAGCAAAAAAATATCCACTCTGACGAAAAATATGTTTTAAAAAGAAAATAAAGATTTTTATCGTTTTGTCTTCCTTTTTTTTTTACCTATGAAATACTTGCAAAGTGTACTCTTTTTGAACAAAAGATAGTTGGTCCCCTAAAGGTAACAAAAAATGGAATTAGATTTTTGGGCACCACTTTTTAAACAAATTTCAAAAAACATAATTTAGGTCCCCTAATATTGTAAGTCCTAGGCCTAGCCTCTGATGGCAACATTTATAAATAGCAACAACTTTTAGCGAATTTTATTTAAAATTTACATGTATGTTTTTGTAAATTTTGTCACTATTTTAGATTTTCATTGAATAAATTCCTATATAAAAATATATTTTATATAAAATATTTATGGAGTATTATTCTCTTTTACTATCAGCTATTAAGATGATTAAACTGACTTGATCAGCTTCAGCATTAATCTGAAGCTAATGAGTTTATAGCTGAAGCTGAAATATCAGCTGCAACCCCTATTTTAAAGACAACAAAGTTAATGTGATGTATATACATTATAATAATAAATGTGTTTATTTTTATACTTAAATACTTATTTTTTTATTTTATGATACATTTAAAAAAAAAATTTTAAACACATGTTTTTTTATAATATTTAATCCTTAGGAAATACTGACTTTTGCCAAATATTCTTTAGATAAAAATAATATTTACTTACATTACTCTAATCGAGGTTATAAACAACGGTAATATTTACTCAAGTTATTATATTTGTCCCCCAAAGTTAATGTAGCTCTATTATACATAAGTCTCTCACTAATTCTAATAATAAAAAGTTATCGCCCTTATTACTTTATTTATATTTACTAACCTGTTATTATTATTATTTATCAAAAACACATTCTGGTTGTTGAAGTCACTTTTACTTATATCAATATCCAAACATTGGCAACAGTCAGAGTGCACTATGCATAAATATTCTTTAACATGCTGCAAAATACAAGATATACATAAGATACATATCATATAAGACCTATTACCTGGAACTTAACATTTTATATTGTTTAACTTACTGTAACTCATTTATAATAAATAAGCATATGGTTATAATCTATATAATAACTAACATCTTTTTTTAGTTATTGTTATTTATGTAAAAGTTATTAAGTTAAATTAAAGTTTTATAACTAAAGTTTAAATGCAAAAGTTTATATCAATAAAATTTTTTATCAGTATTATAAACATAAGTATTATATCACAAGTATTTACAAGTATAGGTATTGTAAGTATAAGTTATTATTATGTATATTATGAAATTATTGTTTATATTGCAAGTGTACAATTTTAAATCAAAATCAAAAAATATCAATGATTAAAAAATGGGGTTGATGCATAACAATAAAGCCATATTTTTGCATTTAGACATCTAAATATATCTTTATTTATATCTGACGGTGGGTAAACTTCGTTAACATCAGTCATTTTGCTTGCATAAAATATAGAAAAATCAATGGAAAAGAGTGGATCTGTAAAAACACTTTAAAAGCATTTAATTCCCTAAATATAACCTATCCATTACATTCTATTCGCCTGTTTGCTCTTTTTAAATGTTTCTGACTAAACTAATATTTTGATTAAACTCAAACCATTTATTATCTAATTATATCACTAGCTGCTAGTTTGCACTGTTTGCATTTTTAAAATGATCAAAATATTAAGTTTTGTTTCTGCTAGTGACTAGCAGAAACAAAACTTTATATTTTGATCATTTTAAAAATGCAAACAGTGTCTCAATGGAACATTTACTACATGTTTAATAGTTTCTGGAACATATGTTCAACAAATATGTTGAACTTTGTAAATTCATTTAAAAAATAGTATATATGTATATATATGTATATAATATATATAATATATAAAAATTCTTTTACAATGATATTAAATAAATGAAATTTTAAAACAACGTCTTTTTAACTGAGTTTTACAGTGACAAAACACATAAAAAAAAAATTCTTATAAATTAGAATGTAAATATAATAACTATATAAAGCTAAACAATTATTAAATCAAAACTGCTTAACATATTTTAAATAAGTAATTAAAACTCATCACATACCCAATGTTTTGCAGATAAACTTTTGTCAATTTTTTTTATTTGAGTATAACTTAAAAATAAAGCAAGGTCTAAAATATTTAATACACTTTAAATAAAGTTAACCACATGTACGATACAAGATTTTCAGTTTTTATTTTTTTGTTCCAAACATGTATAATTTATATTCTGTCAGAATTCTATTTACCTCATAAAATTGTATTATGCAACCATTTTTTCAATACTATTAACACAATACTAAACACAAAATACTATTCTATTTGTCAATACTATTGACAAACACAAACCTAATCAGAAAAAGGTATTTGTAATTATTATTAAAAATGTAACCCATAAAATTTTAAAGTGTTGATTAAATACTTTTTTATTTTTACAGATGATTGTTTTAGCGATATCTTCCCAGCCAACATTGACAGACAGGTACCGTATGGTTTTTGTCTAAGCTTACGGGAACGGGATTTTGACGGGTAAGTGTTTTGGTTTCCAGACGGGTCCCATATGGTAATAAAATCAAGCATATTTGCTCGTTAGGGTTTTATCTGGTTTTTATCAGGGCCAAATAACCTGGGGATTTGACGGGTTACCCATAAGGTTTCCAAAAGGTTTTAAAAAAATCATACTCGATGGTTGCCATTTTTAATTCGTATTGTGCGTGAAATAAGATTAAAAATTAAACTTTAATGCATTTTTTGAATACATTATATTTCATTGTAATTAAAAAGAATTTTTTTTTAATATGTTTTGTCACTGCAAAACTCAGTTAAAAAGACGTTGTTTTAAAATTTCATTTATTTATTATCATTGTAAAAGAATTTTTATATATTATATATATTATATACATATATATACATATATACTATTTTTTAAATGAATTTACAAAGTTCAACATATTTGTTGAACATATGTTCCAGAAACTATTAAACATGTAGTAAATGTTCAATTGAGACACTGTTTGAATTTTTCAAATGATCAAAATATAAAGTTTTGTTTCTGCTAGTCACTAGCAGAAACAAAACTTTATATTTTGATCATTTTAAAAATGCAAACAGTGCAAACTAGCAGCTAGTGATATAATTAGATAATAAATGGTTTGAGTTTAATCAAAATATTAGTTTAGTCAGAAACATTTAAAAAGAGCAAACAGGCGTCAGATATAAATAAAGATATAATTAAATGTTTAAATGCAAAAATATGGCTTTATTGTTATGCATCAACCTCATTTTTTAATCATTGATATTTTTTGATTTTGATTTAAAATTGTACACTTGCAATATAAACAATAATTTCATAATATACATAATAATAACTTATACTTACAATACCTAATAGGTATTGTAATAAATAAGCATATGGTTATAATCTATATAATAACTAACATCTTCTTTTAGTTATTGTTATTTATGTAAAAGTTATTAAGTTAAACTAAAGTTTTATAACTAAAGTTTGAATGCAAAAGTTTATATCAATAAAAATTTTTATCAGTATTATAAACATAAGTATTATATTACAAGTATTTACAAGTATAGGTAACCTATACTTGTAAATACTTGTAATATAATACTTATGTTTATAATACTGATAAAAATTTTTATTGATAAAACTTTTGCATTCAAACTTTAGTTATAAAACTTTAATTTAACTTAATAACTTTTACATAAATAACAATAACTAAAAGAAAATGTTAGTTATTATATAGATTATAACCATATGCTTATTTATTATAATTGAGTTACAGTAAGTTAAACAATATAAAATGTTAAGTTCCAGGTAATAGGTCTTATATGATATGTATCTTATGTATATCTTGTATTTTGTAGCATGTTAAAAAATATTTATGCATGGTGCACTCTGACTGTTGCCAATGTTTGGATATTGATATGAGTAAAAGTGACTTCAACAACCAGAATGTGTTTTTGATAAATAATAATAATAACAGGTTAGTAAATATAAATAAAGTAATAAGGGCGATAACTTTTTATTATTAGAATTAGTGAGAGACTTATGTATAATAGAGCTACATTAACTTTGGGGGACAAATATAATAACTTGAGTAAATATTACCGTTGTTTATAACCTCGATTAGAGTAATGTAAGTAAATATTATTTTTATCTAAAGAATATTTGGCAAAAGTCAGTATTTCCTAAGGATTAAATATTATAAAAAAACATGTGTTTAAAATTTTTTTTTTAAATGTATCATAAAATAAAAAAATAAGTATTTAAGTATAAAAATAAACACATTTATTATTATAATGTATATACATCACATTAACTTTGTTGTCTTTAAAATAGGGGTTGCAGCTGATATTTCAGCTTCAGCTATAAACTCATTAGCTTCAGATTAATGCTGAAGCTGATCAAGTCAGTTTAATCATCTTAATAGCTGATAGTAAAAGAGAATAATACTCCATAAATATTTTATATAAAATATATTTTTATATAGGAATTTATTCAATGAAAATCTAAAATAGTGACAAAATTTACAAAAACATACATGTAAATTTTAAATAAAATTCGCTAAAAGTTGTTGCTATTTATAAATGTTGCCATCAGAGGCTAGGCCTAGGACTTACAATATTAGGGGACCTAAATTATGTTTTTTGAAATTTGTTTAAAAAGTGGTGCCCAAAAATCTAATTCCATTTTTTGTTACCTTTAGGGGACCAACTATCTTTTGTTCAAAAAGAGTACACTTTGCAAGTATTTCATAGGTAAAAAAAAAAGGAAGACAAAACGATAAAAATCTTTATTTTCTTTTTAAAACATATTTTTCGTCAGAGTGGATATTTTTTTGCTAGATGAGGATGTTCGTCTAATAATGTAGCTGCATCCGAACATTAAATTTCATATTAAATTTGACTGCATATAATGTTTTTACAGAAAGTTGCAACTTCTCACTGCTTCAATAATCATTTCTTAGTGAAAATACCTTTTCAACAGCAGCATTAGTGCCTGGACAACATAAAGAAATTTCTGTTAAAACTTTTAAACTTTCATGTGGGATATGTTCTACTCTAAAATGCTGAATGATTTCCACCCATCTTTTTTCAAGTTCTATTTTCTCATTGTTCTCTTTCTTCAGTTTTTCTTCATTTAAAAATAAATTTACTCTTCCAATTTCTTCAAAAAGAAAATTGTCATTAATAACAATATCTTTTACTTCCTTTATTACAAATTCGACTGCTGAAGAAACTTTTTTCCATTAAATTTTACTATTTATAAGGGTCCATTTAAAACAATTCAATGCTCTAAAGTTCATTATCCATTTTATATTTTTCTGCAAAAGATTTTTTGCAAAAAAATATAAAAAAACAAATTAAAGGCAAATTTAAATAAAAAAATATATACATACACTACTATATACAATATTAAAGGCTATATTAAAGGCTTCAATATAGCTTTTAATATTGTATATAGTAGTGTATGTATATATTTTTTTATTTAAATTTGCCTTTAATTTGTTTTTTTATATTTTTCTGTAAAAAATTTTTTCTGTTACTTTATCCTTCTGAACTTATGTGATTAAGTTTTTGTTTTCTCTTACATATTTTCTCACTCATCTTATCTCATCCGTTCATTATCTCTTTTTTTTTTTCATTTTTCTTAGCGTTACTCTTTTATATTTTTGTGTTAATTCCAACTTTTTAAATAGTATTGTTCCTTATACTTCTTTTTTTATTACTTGTATTAATGTAGTTTTCTTTCTTTCTTATTATTTTTTATTTTATGTGTTTATTTTATGAAGGTGTCGCTCCATTCACTTGTTTTTAATATGAGTGACACCAAACATAAATTTGTAAAATATAATTAAGTTTTTAATTTTTGATTTTATGGTTAATTAACCATAAGCGTATGCGTAGTATGTAAAGTAAGGTTTTTGTTATCCTTTTATTTAATTAAATAAATGGATAAAAAACTTTGCTGTACATACTACGCATGCCTCAAGACTGTCAAGCATGGCATACATACTGCACATCAAAGATCAGCCTGGGGATTACATATGCAAATGTTGGATCTATCTCTTTTCACAAAAGTAATTTTGACATTGTTAGAAAAAGAGGTCTGTAGTATCTATCTATCTCTCCAGGTTCATAATACGGCCTCGCAATTGTGTTGAAAATGGCAGCCATATGTGCGCTCAAAATTTAAATCACTGTCAAACTTGTATCTGGTGTTTGCCCTGTCCTCTGACGTGCTGGAAACGGCTAGCAATATGTGCGCATGAAATTCAAATAACTGTCAAAATAATTTTAAATATTTAATTAATAAAATAGAAATAAAATAATATAAAAAAAAAATGTTTTAGAAATACAAATGAGTACAAAATTATACAAATGAGTACTTTCAGAGTACAGGATTTATAAAAAGTACGGTTTGTGAAAAAAGAGTAAAAAAACTCAGTAAATGAGAATAGCAGGTCACCTTAATTGTCTACATAATTTTTTGGTAGATTTTAAAGTTCTTGCAAAAGATGGTTTTATCTATGAAAATATTGAGTTTAAAATCAATCATGCTGTTATCATATGTGATGCACCAGCTAGAGCATTTGTAAAGTGTATTAAAGGACACAATGGTTATAACTGATGTGAATGTTGTGTTTAGAAAGGAGAGTGGTGTGGCAAGATAATTCTCCTACATATTTCACTAATTTTAAGCACTGATTCAGATTTTTTGTCATTAAAAGCGTTCTGAACATCTTAGTGGTATGTTAAATTGAATTAAGTTTTGACATGGTGACAAAGTTTCCTTTAGACTTAATGAATCTAGTATGCTTAGGGGTAATGGGAAGATTTCTCAACTTATGGTTAAATTGCCCAAATGTTGTAAATTGTCTCAGATTACAGTCAATACTTTATCTGGCGGATTGTTCCAGATACGTCATTACATTCCAAGAAATTTTTCTAGAAAATCAAGGTCTTAATTAGATATTAAAAAATGGAAAACAACTGAGCTTAGACTATTTATAGTAAACATTTGACCAGTTGTTTAAAGGGAATGGTTTAGCCAAAAATGTATTCAATTTTTTAGATTTTTCAGTTGTAGTTCTACTTTCATAATGTTTCATTTTGTTGAAAAAATATGTTAATTTTGCTTTTCAGCTACTTATTTTTATATGTGAACTTTATCATAAGGATCAACTAGTGTACAATGTCCACTCATTAGCACATATAGGAAATAATACAGTTAAATTGTAGATGTCCCTCTTTCAAATACAAAACTTTTTCAGGTCAATTAAAAAATGTTTGTCTAGGGGGCTCATTTGCAAATTTAGGGGCCCTTTTACAAATGTAAAAATTTTTTTTTTTTTAGGATTTTTATTTAGATTTTGTTTATCTATTGGAAAAGTTTTTAGGAATTTTGGGGCCCTTATGACAGGTTTTTTTTTGGAATGGGGGACTTGTATCTAGTAGCCACGGATCTGTATATAAGGTATATACAATATATATCAAATTATATACAATATAAATAAAAAAATATATTTATTTAATAATTTTATATAATTTATTTATCAGTAACTAAAGGAATGTTATCAATTTATTATATGAATCATAAACATGTGCTTATCTATTACAAGTACCTTTGATGGTGAAAACTACATTTTTTGTCTGAAGAGAGTTATGAGAAACTGTAAGAGTTTTATAACATATTAAAATTAATGTAAGTGTTACCAATAAAATTTAAAACTAACAGTTAAACTTAATTTTTTACAGTTCATATTGAAACGAGATATTGTGTAAAGAGGTTTTCAAAGAAGTCGTTTTAACAACAATGGAAAAGCTTCCGATTCCCGAGATAAACGTGAAAGCATTTGATACATGATTAAAGAATCGTTCAAAAGTTTGCTTAATTTTGACAGTGTAATTTTAATTACTATTTTTTTTTTGAAATAAACCAATCAATTTATATATAAATTTGCTTTTTCTGTAAATTTTAAACATTTAAACGTAGTTTTGCAAGATTTGCAATGGGTAAACCTCGTGGGACCCTCACGGGATACCCGGCGGGCATACCCATATGGGCCCCAGAAGAAAACCGCGGCCATGATCCGGCGGGTTCCCGATGGGTTTCCCATCGGGTCCCATTTGCAAACCCAAATGGGTCCCTTACGGTTTTAAAGTACGGGATTTGACTGGGACCCATACGGGATACCCGGCGGGTTAACCCATATGGGTCCCATATGGAAACCGCGGTCATGATCCGGCGGGATACCGTTGGTCTTCCCATACGGGACCCAGTTGACGACCCGCATGGGCCCCGTACGGTACCCGTATGTCAATGTTGGCTGGGTTATCTTTTAAAAATCGATATTTTTCGTTTAACTTAGGCTACAATGCTCAAAGACTGATATTATTAAATGCAAATATAATACAACTTTTTCAAATAATGATCCATTAAATTATGTTGAATTTAATGCTAAGCATTGTTTTTTAATAGAGCATCAAGAATTAAAAAAGGAAATTGATAACTTTAAAAAAGAACTTTAGCACGAATTAAAAAAACAGACAAATTTGTATATGTTTATATACAAATTTGTCTGTTTTCATAGTAATAACTGATGTGGTTGAAGTTAATTTTTTATATAAATCTTTATTTTTTTATTTCGTGCTGAAGTTCTTTTTTAAAGTTATCAATTTCCTTTTTTAATTTTTGATGCTCTATTAAAAAACAATGCTTAGCATTAAATTCAACATAACTTAAAATATAAAAAAAATGTAAATACAAATTTGTATATGTTTATATACAAATTTGTCTGTTTTCATAGTAATAACTGATGTGGTTGAAGTTAATTTTTCATATAAATCTTTATTTTAATCCAAACAAATCGTGTTATTGCAATTTACTTGTATACAAACATTTATTTTAAAAATAATAGATGTTGCGACTTTTATACTGGCTTTACATCTGTCAATGTGTTTCATCAGTTAGTGCAGTATCACCATTAATCAAAAGAGGTAAAACTACTTGGACCAAAATAAATGTAATGCAGCAAAGATGAATTTTTAATGATGCTAATACTTGGATTATTGACAGCTGATTTTGCTGACAGGTTCAATATATTTTTAGGATTAGCGAATGCAATATTTTCTTCATTGTTGAAAGCTTCTAGCTCACTTTTAAACCACATGGTTTTTGTTCCAAGTAAAGTTGTTATAAGACAGCAATGCAAAACAGATTTGAGAAATTAAATTATTCAGACTAACACTAAATTTCAATAACAGAATTTATCATGGAAACACCTTAAAATTTTGACTTACAGAAACTAACAGTGAATGAATACAAACATTACAACAATATAAAAACATTAGTACCTGTAGCTCCAAATTCATCAACAATTTCTTTAAAAAATTTCTAAAGCTTACAGAAGCTAAATTTCTGTTAAAAAAATTACATATCGCAACAACTATTTAGATTGTATTACAAAATACTCTTGTATAATGTATGATTAAGGCTTTAATAATATTTTTTTAATACAAATGAAGTGATTTTAAATAAATCCATTTTTATTAGTCAATTTAAAAATATGATGAGTATTTGTATAAAGATAATTAAAATTTCAAACAATAATATTAGCTTTACTTGTTGTTGTTTTTTTAAGTGAATCAATTGCAATTGACGGAATATCTTTAAAATGCTGAGGTAATCGAAATAATTTTTAATTATTCAGGATTTTTAAGGATTAAGTTATTTAGCAAAAAAATTGTTTGATAATGAGTTCAATTTAAATTAAAAATAAAAAATTAATATTAGCTCTCGCGTAATTAATATCAGTTCTCTTTCCTATTAAAATTTAGAATATTTCTAACAATTTTGTGACCTCCATGACTATCAAGGGGAAAGGTGGAAATATGCTTTAAGAGCACTAATTTATATGGTGTAGTGAAAGGTATACCTTTATAAGATATGCAAAACTTTTTTAATCTCATTTTTTATATATTCAAAAATTTCTCCAAGTGTTTTTTTTTTTTTTTTTTTGTAATTCCTTTTTATTAACAGCTTCTTCTATTAAATACGATGGAGCGACTGAAACTTTAATTGATGGCATTTTGTCTAACTTCTAAAAATGCGCTTTATTTCGAAAAGGTGGCGGAAAAGATAAAAATTTAGATTGATTGATATAAATTTATATTTATAAAAATCAATTTAAAATTTTTTTATTGAAATTTTTACATATATTTCAATAAAGAAATATTTTCTTTTTGTCTGCTAATATTTTTTTTTCAGTGTTAATTCAACATTACAAATTAAAACTCAATTATGAAAAAAGCCGAATTAAGTTGATGTTTTAAGTAAAATAAGAAAAGCCCAAAAGGAAACTGATGTAATATTTTTATTTTTTGATAAAAAAAAAAATTCTAATAATGTTTAAAATTGGTATTAATATTAATGTTTATTAGATATAGCTGAGTAAAAAATAAGTAATGTTTATTAGATGAAGATAAGTAAAAAAATAAGATACAAGTTATTTTTTGGTCTTGAAAGTTGTTTTAATGATAATTTATTAGTTATCAAAATGTTTTCTTTTTTAATTTTTGTTGTTTTTATATTTCTATTAAAAGTAGATATTATTGTGTCATATATTATAATATACCTTATATTATACTATTATATTTTATATTATTAATGAGTATTTTTTTTTTTTTTTTGTTTTTCTATTTTTTTTCAATATTCCATAATTATCATATGTAGATGTTTATGTTTTAGCAACCTAGTATTCTTTCATTATTTGTCTTTGTTATTGAGCCTTAAGTTATTTGAACATAATATATTCGAACTCTGCTGAATAATAGAGTAATAAATATATTAATAAAATCGAGTTTAAAAGATAATAAATTTACAAAATAAAGAAAATCTTATCTTTGCTAATAATGTCTACTAATATTATTGTTTAGAAAGTATCATGGTTATAAAATGTTCAAATTTAGCTAGTTTGATTAGGCCTGTTAGTACGCTTATATTATGGTTTCTTCATTTTATATTAGTTTATGTGATTTTTTCAAAATCAAATATGCAGAAAGGAGCTGTTTGGAATGAAGATTTACAAGATTAAGTAATTCCATCTAATTGGATTAGTGATAAAACTGTCGGCTTCCAGGTACCAAAGCATTGACTGCACTAAAATGCAGAAAAGAAATGGCTTAAGTTGTAACATTTTTCCATTACTTATTTATTTTTTAAATCTTCCTTTTTTGATTTTTTTAATATATTTTTTTTATTTACAGCTTCTTCTATTGCATTCAATGGACCAAAAGAACCCTTGGTTAATGGAACATTGTTTGACTATCTAAATTACGCTTTATTTGTGGTGGAAAAGAGAAGAAATTTGTGTAGATTTTATTCAATTACATGTAAATATATGTAATATTTGAACATGTATTTTTGAATAAAACAAGTTTTATCTCTTTCTATAATCATACCTAGCTATTTTAACTAAACTAAACTGAAAAAGTTCTAAATAGTCCAAGTATGAATATATTTATGATTAGATTGAATAGATTTAGTATCCATTATATACCTTGATAATGTACAGTAACACTAATGTACACGCATAGTACGTTTTGATGGTGATCATTTTTTGACGCACATAGCATGTTTACATACATGTTTACATTTTGACATACATATTACGTTTTGATGGTGAAAAAGTGTTTTACAGTCGTTTAACGTTGATAAATCAACGTTAAAAAAACTATCATTTCAAACGTTGTATCCACGTAAATTCAACGTTGTTGTAGCGTTTTTTCGCGTCGAATCAACGTTGATATAACGTTTGAATTTAACGTTGATTTAACGTTGATAAATCAACGTTGAAAAAAACTTTCATTCTAAACGTTAAATCAACGTTAATTCAACGTTAGGTTTCAACGATATTTCAACGTTATTTCAACGTTATTTGCTGGCTGGAATGTATCGTTTTCTATTGTTTAGGTAAATGTTGACCAATTCTATTTGTGTTCTTTTAATACCTAACCTTTTGAGTTTTTTTGTTATAAGAATGCCATGGTATACTGCATCAAAGGCTTTGTTAAGATCTATAAAAACTTCGAGGGTAAACTTACTTTTAACAAATGATTTAAACATATCGTGAACAATATTAATAATGGCATGGTCAGTTGAATACCCTGCCTTAAATCGAAATTTTTTGTTATACAGAATACTATTTCTTTTTAGAAAAGATAAAATTTGTTTATACATAATTCGCTCTAGGATTTTAGAGAAGAACGGAAAAAATTGAAATTGGTCTGTAATTTTTGGGATTAGATATGTCTCCTGATTTGAAAATAGGTATGACCCTTTCAGTTTAAAGTTTCTCCGGATAAATTACTAGTTTTATGGAGAGATTAAAAATATGTAAAAGAGGGTTTCCTAATTTTTTAATGATATTTTAATTACATTACATCTAATATTATTAAACCACGCACTTTTGTTTAGTTTTAAAAGATATACAGCATCTAAAATTGATCAAGAAATAAAAATCGAACGTGCACGTTGAATTGGCATTCTTAATTCTTGTCAAAAAAAACTGTTATTTTAAAACTGCACGATTTTGAAGATAAAAAAAATCAAAACGGTCTATTAACTAAAAATTACGAATATTTATACTAAGGAAGATTTTAATGGCATTTTGCCTATGGGTTTTCGCCTATTAGCACAAGCAAAAACCCATAGGTAAACTGGTTATTTTGCCAAATATATACAAAAACTATTAGTTCGTGAATTCAAATAAGACAAATTGAGCGGAAATGAAAAATTTCATGTGATATAAAAAAAATAAATAAATAAACTAAATTTTGGTTAAATATATAATTTATTTTTCTATATAACACTTGAACATAAAAAGCAT